TGGAGAGAGGTGGGGGATGTGTGTCCTGCCATGGCTGCAGGGAGAGGACTAGAGGGAATGGCCTTGAGCTGAGCCAGGGCAGAGTCAGATTGGATTGCTCAGGGAGGTGGTGGAACTGCTGGAACCCCTAAACCAGATCCTCCAGTGCCAGATCCAGATGCCTCTTCAACACTTCCAGGGATGGTGACTCCACCACCTCCCTGGGCAATATCCCAGTGCCTCAACACCCTCCCAGGGAAAACATTTCTCCTCACATCCAATCTGACTCTGCCCTGGCTCAGCTCAAGGCCATTCCCTCTAGTCCTCTCCCTGCAGCCATGGCAGGACACACATCCCCCACCTCTCGCCAACCCTGGCAGGGAGTTGCAGAGAGCCATGAGGTCACTCCTGAGCCACTTCTGAGGTTAAAGCATCTTGACTGGGGAATGAAAATGTCCTGACCAGAGATGGTGCTGCTGAGGTTACCTGAAGTAACTTATGTGTCCTTTTTTATATATAATACTCATTTTCTTCTAAAATGTAGCATTTGTTTCAGCTGCAGGGGGGATTCTTGGTACTTTTTCAGTAATAGCCAATAACCTAATGACCTGTTGCCATAGTTGCATAGCACATACCTTTTGGTCAGAGATACCTCTGTTTTACTGAAAAGCAACAAATACCCTCAGTTCAAACTATTGTTTGATATCCCTTGTAAGTTTACAGTCCTGACCTTTTAAAACTGTATTTTTAGCTTGGAAAGCTCTGAAATGTGGATTGCCACACATTAGAGGCTACATGCATTGGATGTGAAGTGTGAATGATGCACAGTATAGTTCAAAATTATCCAGGAGAGCTAACCCCAAAGGAATACTAATTATTTCTGCCTTGCTTTTACAGCAGCAGTATCAAAGTGCCCTGTTTTGGGCCGACAAAGTAGCTTCACTCTCTCATGGTAAGTGGTTGCTTTTCACTTTGGTTTTTGTTACCTTCTTTCTGATAGTGTTCTGTTTTGATGGGGTTTTAGTGCTGCTTGGCTAAATATTGAAGTTTTGAGTTTGGTGTAAGTGGGTTTTTTTGTTATCTTTCAACACTGTTGTCCCAAATGGAGCAGAGCTCATCTTCCCTCCCTTTTGAACTTTGTGTTTGGCCACACCCTGAGGCTTGCCTACCTTAAGAAACAAAAAGAAAAGAAAGCAGGAGCTAGAAGAGACAGTGGTGGTTTTCTGCAAGACTCACTGTTGCCCTGGGTGACAAGGAGAATGCTGATTTGCAGGGGGAGCTGATCCCTTGTGTCTGCCTACAGACATAGCCCAGTTACACTTCTACAATGATTCTGTGGGCTTGACCCCACAAAAGCTTGGTTGCCAATGAAGTGGAATCATAGAACCATCAAGGTTGGGGGAGACCTGTAAGATCATCGAGTCAAACCATTAACCTGCCACTGCTGGAACCCCTAAACCCTAAACCAGATCCTCCAGTGTCAGATCCAGATGTCTCTTCAACACCTCCAGAGATGGTGACTCCACCACCTCCCTGGGCAATATCCCAGTGCCTCAACACCCTCACAGGGAAAACATTTCTCCTCACATCCTATCACTTTCCCCTGTCTCAGGGTATGACCATTCCCTCTAATGCTCCTAGTAGGAGGGTATTAAGCTGTGCTTCTGCAGTCATAACTTCAAGCTGCAGAAGTCTAGTTCTTTCACTGTTGTCAGGTTCCACTGATCTTCTTTTGAGAGAGACAGCACTGGGTTGTTCTTTCTGTCCTCAGTCCAAGGGCAGAGCAACCTGCACCTGCTGCTTGTTAGATCTGTATCATTCTCATCTCCTTCTCATGACACCTCTAGTATGACATCCTTTGTATTTACTGCCCACTGCACTATCTAATGTCTTTGAAGTTAAAATCTGCTCTCTCACTGATAGGTATTAGAACTTGTTTTTATATGTATATATATAAACACAACCTTGAAACCTAATAGGATGCTAGAATAGGGGAAAAATACTTCTCTAGTGAAGCAAAAGTGAATATTCTGTATTAAAGTGTTCAAAGATCGATTACAAATTAATGGTTTATAATGTGCTCTTTCATTTTAGAGGACCCACAAGATATCTACTGGTTGGCCCAATGTCTTTACCTGACAGCTCAGTATCACAGGGCAGCACATGCCCTTCGGTCCCGTAAGTTGGATAAGGTGAGTCCTTTTGGTCAAAGACTTCCTGCTGTTATTCCACTTTTTAACCTCTGCTGCTAACCACAGTAAGTTCTTTACTATCAGAGGATAAGGTTTGTGGGATAAGTAATTAAAAACCTTGCATGATGTAGCTTATATGGCTCTGTGTTCACTGATCAGATTGCAAGTGTTGTCCCCAGGTAGGGTCACAGACAAGAGAAGGGATCCAAGGATGTAACTACAGAGGTACTGGAAGGTGGAGTTTCACTCCAGATGTTTAGAATCATAGAATCAACTAGGTTGGAAGAGACCTCAAAGATCAATTGTCCTCCCACTCTGACAATGAGTGGTGAAGGCAGGAGTGAAGCAACTGTCCTTTGAGAGTTTAGAAGGAGGGAAAGTAGTACAGAGTGAGTCATGTTGGTCAGGTGGAGAAAGGGGTGCAAAAGTCATACCACTGCAAAAGCAGGGAGCAAAGTGGAGTCTGGCAGTGTAAGCAAACATGCTCTCCCTTCATAACTCATGTGTGTGAACCCTCTCTTTCAGTTGTACGAAGCCTGTCGCTACCTTGCAGCTAGATGTCATGTGAGTACACTTTAACCTCTGCTGGAAATGAATCAGACTAAATAAAAGGCACATCTTGGGAAGATTAGCTACCTGACAGGCAGTGTAGATGTTTATGTTCATTGGAATCACAGGTTAGTGACAGCTGATTTCATGCTTTTAACTTTCAGTGTGCTCACTGGAGCGTCCAGTACTACTGCTGTGTAGTAGTACCAGCTGAACTCTTTCTCCAGGAAACACTCCTCTAATACTTTCTGGGGAAGAGTTGAACCATTTTGTGGTTCATGTTTTCCTGTTTACACTTGTAATTGGTTGGTTGTAATCTGACCAGAGGAGATGTCATTTATGGTTCTAAAACTACAGTTAGCAACTTTATACTTCTATATAAAATGTGATGCATCAATAGTAAAATTCAGTGCCTTCACAGAGACAACGGAATCAATTAGGAGCTTAAATGCAGCAATTTGACGTAATGTGCTGCATATAGAATAAGATTATGGTATGATATTAAAACCTGTATTGACTATTTTTAGAGGCATATCTGTTTCTGTGATTGCATAATGCTGAATAACAGCTTTTTTGGAGGTGTCAGTCTTAGAAGGTTTTGCATGTGATAGAAGACAATAAAACAGTTCATTGCAGTTATAAAATGACAGGTGGCCATATAAGGATATGCATATAACTTGCTGATAAACACTGGTTGTTATAGTTTGTGCCTTTGAAACATGGAATCATGGACTCATAGAATTTTAGGGGTTGGGATGGACCTTACAGATCATCTAGTCCCAACCCCCGGCCCTGGGCAGGGACACCTCCCACCACACCAGGTTGCTCAAGGCTCATCCAACCTGGCTGTGAACACTGCCAGGGTTGGGGCAGCCACAGCCTCCCTGGGCAACCTGTGCCAGTGTCTCACCACTCTCACAGGACAAAACTGTTTCCTAATAGATGGAGCTTTGTGTACAGATGTTTCCAGATGCTTGCAAACCCAGCCTTGTTTTTTCCCCCTGTACATGTGTGATTAGTATGCTGCAAAAGAGCATCAACAGGCCCTGGATATTCTTGATATGGAAGAGCCAATCAACAGACGACTTTTTGAGAAGTTCATGAAGGATGAAAGTGGGTTGAAAGAGCCTTCCACAGACTGGGAGATGTCACACTCCTCTGTAAGTGACATTGTTTAAACAAGTATCTTTAAAACAGAAAGCAATGTGTGCGATGTCACAAAGTGATTTTACAGCTGAATGATTCTGAAACTGCCTGGAAGCTTCCTTTTTCAGATAACATGGTTTTCAAAAATGATGAGTTATTTTACTTTCAGTCAGAAGTCAAGTGTTAGTGCTTGCCTGTATAAAAATAGCTTGGTTTGCAAAAATGAAGAGTGCTTTTCACAGAATTCCTGAATCCATTAGGTTGGGAGGGACCACAATGGGTCATCTGGGCCCACCTCCCTACTCCAGCAGGGCCACCCTAGAGCACATGGCTTAGGATTGTGTCCAGATGGGTCTGGAATATCTCCAGTGAGGGAGAATCCACGACCTCTCTGGGCAATCTGTTCAGTGCTCAGTGACTGCACAAGAAAGAAGTTCTTGCTCATGTTCTGGTGGAACTTCCTGGGCATCAGTTTTTGCTGACATCAGTGGTCATAATGGTCTTTCACTACTTTCATTTCTGAACCATGTCTGTTTTGGATTGAGAAGAAGGATATATTTTTCTGCTCAGACTAGTGAGTCTATTGATTTGGCCCTTCTCATCTCTACTGTTGTCATGGAGTTTAGGGGTTGGAATGGACCTTACAGATCATCCAGCCCCAACCCCCTGCCCTGGGCAGGGACACCTCCTCACTAGATCAGGTTGCTCAAGGCTTCACCCAGCCTGGCTGTGAACACTGCCAGGGTTGGGGCAGCCACAGCCTCCCTGGGCAGCCTGTGCCAGTGTCTCACCACCCTTTCAGAGGGTGCAAGTCATTCTTGTCTTGCCTGGATTATGTGGGTTAATGGTGAACAAAGAAGTGAATTGCCTTTGGAAGAGAAATTTCTCTGTGTTGAGTGTGAAGAGAGTTCAGCATAATTAGCTGACAGCTCAGTATCAGAGAGCTGGATGCCAGAAGTGGAGAAGATAAACTCTGTCTTCATGCTGCTCATTGCAAGTGTGTGTGTTTGGCAGTAGATAACCTGGCAGAGCATTCATTTGAATTTTTTTTTGAGGTAGTAGAGAATTATTTAGTTAAAGTCAGCACTAGAAAATCAGGTTCTGCCAGACATGACATGCTTTTGACTTCCCAGGGATCCCATTTGATTTGTGCTCAAAACCAAATTGCAGACATTGATCCAGTCTTTAACCTCCAGTCCTGCTTTTCCAGCAGATCAAGAGCTCAATCTGCCTTTTGAGAGGGAAGATCTATGATGCTTTGGACAATAGAACCCTGGCAACTTACAGCTACAAAGAGGCCTTGAAGCTTGATGTTTACTGCTTTGAAGCATTTGATCTTCTGACATCCCACCATATGCTGACAGCACAAGAAGGTCTGAGAAGTGTTTCTCTAGCACAAGTAAAACTTGCCTGCTTCCTCGATGTGTGTTTGCCTGGATAAATGTTAGAGCAATGCAAGTAGCAGACTGCAAAGTGGGAAGAATAGTAAAATGTATAAAATGAGGGAAAATTCTAATCTGCCCAAATTCGCCTTGGAACTTTTATTTTTCAGTCTTGCAGTGCTAAGAGTTGAAGGAAACAAAGGAACTCAGCTGAACCTCTGTTAGCTCTGGAAGCTCCCGTCCTCTTTGCCCAGCCTAAACAATGTTTTTCCCTGTGTTCTTAACTTCACAGGCTTTGGATCCATGGAACCCTCCTGGGGGTTGCTTAGCTGTAGACACTGTTATATACAGGACATGGGTTAGCCTCCTGGGGGTTGCTTAGCTGTAGACATTGCTATATACAGGACATGGGTTAATAGAGAATTCTGAGGGATAAAATCTGACAGGTAGAGGAATTGAAAACAGTAGTGTGTTATCTCGTAGAACCATCAAGGTTGGAGGAGACCTCTAAGGTCATCGAGTCTAACCATTAACCTGTCACTGCTGGAACCCCTAAACCCTAAACCAGATCCTCCAGTGTCAGACCCAGATGTCTCTTCAACACCTCCAGGGATGGTGACTCCACCACCTCCCTGGGCAATATCCCAGTGCCTCAACACCCTCACAGGGAAAACATTTCTCCTCACATCTGATCTGAATCTTTAATAAATTTGATTTAGAAGTGTTGAAGGAACACATGAAGAATTCAATCCTCCATGCCCATAATCAGTAGTATTAGCTGTTTCAGTGTGTCTCTGCTATCCTGTGTATCTGTGTCTGTTACCTTCCTGGTACTTGGGATGAGCATCAGGAAGTTCTTTGCATCTCTCAACTGCTGAAAACGTTGAGTCTTGCTGTTTCTTCTGAAATGTGACCAATTTTCTTTTTCATCCATATAGAAAAAGAACTTCTTGAATCTCTACCTCTTAGTAGACAATGTACAGAAGAAGAGCAAGAATTGCTTCACTTTTTATTCGAGAATAAATTGAAAAAGGTAAATCCTCTCCCATAGTGACTGAAAAGCTAAAAGGAGAATCGATTGAAAGTCTTGACTTGGGTTGTAAATAACTTAGGGCTTTCTAATTTTGGCTGGTTTAAACCTTTTGCTGCAGTAGATGTCACTTTATGGAGTAGTATAAGTTTCCTGTGAACTTCTTTTCTGCTGTGGTGACAAATCGAAATTCTGACTGATGTTTTTCAAACTTTCTTTCTTGAGAAATTTCTAGGTGGGGATAAAGAACATTAATAATGGAGGCAAAATAGCAGTTACCTGAAAATATAGGTTATAGCAACATCATTCCAGACTATTTTTTCCAAAGATAATGTGAGAGAAATAAAAACCAACTATATATTGCTCAGCATTAATGTCTACACCCTGCACTTAAGATACTGACCCTGACAGCATCTTTCATGTTCTGAATGAGCTTTTAAATACATGATAAAGAAACCTTTTACCAACACATGTTTTATGGACTTTCAGTTTAAAAATGTTAAAAAAAATTAGACCTTTAATGCTTCTTAAACATTCTTTTGGCACTAAAACATCAGTCCTTACACCATCTGATTCTTCATTAGTGTTTTGTTTCACATGTTGTTTCTGTTGTCTTTCAGTACAATAAACCCAGTGAAACGCTGATTCCTGAGTCAGTAGATGGTCTTCAGGAGAACCTGGATGTGGTGGTATCCTTAGCTGAAAGGCATTATTACAACTGTGATTTCAAAATGTGTTACAAGCTAACCTCAGTGTAAGTGTACGGAGCAGCTTGAAGGTGTTTTTCTCTTGTGGTGAAGTATGTGAATTATGCATTGCTTGCAGCAAATATTATTGTTCACTGGATTGACATATTGGTACAAAGTTTCGGGTATTTAAAGTGTGTAGTTTGTGCCTGGAAAGAAGCATTATTTTTATAAGATGTAGCAGAAGTATCCATAGCAAAACTGTATTTAATCAGCACTGTGCAGCACTTCCCTTCATCCATCCTCTTCCTTGCTCCGGTACCTTCAGGATTGGGTGCTCCTTACAGACTTCTTGTTTGGCCTTCAGAACCAACAGGTTTGCATCAGTGGGTTAGTTAGGAAATACGATTTCTCTGGCTGATTAACAGAATCTCAGAATCAGTGAGGTTGGAAAGGACCACAGTGGGTCATCTGGTCCAACCTCTCTACTCCAGCAGGGCCATCCCAGAGCACATGGCTCAGGATTGTGTCCAGATGGTTCTGGAATATCTCCAGTGAGGGAGAATCCATGACCTCTCTGGGCAATCTGGTCAGTGCTCAGTGACTGCACAGCAAAGAAGTTCTTCCTTGTGTTCAGATGGAACTTCCTGGGTATTAGTTTTTGCTGTTTCCTCTTTTTCCCTTGGTTTCCTCCACTGAGGAGAGTCTGATCATCCTCTTGGCACTTCCCATTCATGGACTTGAATCCATTAATGAGGTCCCTTTCATTCATCTCTTCTGGAGACTGAACAGCCCCAACTCCCTCAGCCTTTCCTCATCACTGAGGTGCTCCAGTCCCTTCAGCATCTTCTTTGCCCTCCCCTGGACCTGCTCCAGGAGCTCCATGTCCCTCTGGTCCTGAGGAGCCCAGAACTGGACACAATCCTCCAGGTGTGGCCTCACGAGGACTAAGGAGAGAGGCAGGACCTGCATTTGCCCTTGTTGAATCTCAGCTGATTCTGCTCTGTCCCTCTCTCCAACCTCTCAACGTCCCTCTGAGGGGCAGCACAGCCCTCTGAGCTATCACCACTCCTCCCAGTTTGGTATCATCAGCAAATTTGCTGGGAAGGCAACTCTGTCTCCTCGTCCAAGTCACTGATGAATAAGTTGAACAATACTAGGCCCAGCACAGAACCCTGGGGGACACCACCAGTGACAGCCTCCACCTAGACTCTTCCACTGGTCCCATCTCTCTGGGATCTGCCTCTCAGCCACTTCTCAATCCACCTCACTGTCCACTCATCCAATCCCTCAGACATAACCTCAATTGTTGCATACCTGGGTATACCCTGCTGCTCAGTTATCCATGGACACCACCATGGATTGCTTCTCAGGCACTGTAAATCTGAACACATGGTTGGATTTGTGAATGCCACAGGAAACAGACCTTTCAAACTGAGCTAGACAAGATTCTTAAGGCATTCCAGACACACCACTGCCTAGTGCTGGGCTCAGGAAGCTGAGGACTGTTGCTTGAAAGATGCTGTCAGATATATGGAAAAGATGAACAGATGTGTTGCTTGCTGTTTGCTGGTTAAATTTGAAGTGACCTGCAAACAAATGTGCATTGTATTCTGATTTCCTAATTGTATGTTCAGCTTGACAGAATTTTCTGTTAGCCTCTTTTGCTAGGCTAAATTAATTGCTATTTTTCCAGCCTGAAGATGGTTTTATTATGCTCTTAATTGTTACCTTCTCATCACAAATAGTTTTCTAGTGCCTAAAGTGGTAATTAACCACAGCATTACACACCGTAAAAGCAGCTTGCTTATGACACATTAAATTTTTGCCATGTGCCTTGCAGATCTTTGTGTTATTATTTTTTCAGAGTGATGGAAAAAGATCCCTTCCATGCAAACTGTTTACCTGTACATATAGGGACACTTGTGGAGCTGAATAAAGCAAATGGTAAGCAACAAAACCTTTCGTATGAGTCAATAGAAGTTGTAAAGCCTCAGTTTTGAGAAGCAATTAAAGATGCCAAGAAACCTACTTATATAGCATTTGGAAGATTACATACATTTATCCTCTTCCCTGCAGTGGTAACTGGCCAAGAAGGGAATTTGAGAACTGACAGCAGGATTGAGTGTTGGGAGGGAGGTCTTTATTGGTACCTGATCAAAGTGTCACGACCTTTAAAGATCAGAAGTTATTCCAATAACTACAATGCTTATTTTGATTAGAAAAGTAATCACTTGGAATCATTGCAAGTGATGGAATCACTTGGAATCATTGCAAATTGTTAATGCCCAGGACTCTCCTTTGCAATGGATCTAGCCAGTATGTTGTGCCCTTTAGGTGCAGGAGGTTCAGTAGTGTTTTACCTTGACAAGGTGCATCCTACAGGCATTTGTTTTATTCTGTGTTAATGACCTAAGTTGTTGCAGAATCCTCAAGGGGTGGGAGGTGTAGCTGTTTATCTGTGTGCTGTGAAGACTTAGGGGTTGTTTTGGTAGAGTTTCTTGTGGTTAATTGCAAAACTGAGTCTGTTTTGAGGTAGTTCAAAGCGTTACCTAAACACTTTGTGCTGACTTGTGCATGCATAATGTTAGATGTTCTGGATATTTTGTATGGAAAGTTAAAGGACTTGAAGCATCTTAATGTTTTTAGCATGTTTTAATTTTCTTTTCTTGTTTCTTCCTGCTGTACAGAGCTTTTCTATCTCTCTCACAAACTGGTGGACTTGTACCCAAATAATCCTGTAAGTTGTTCTAAGCCTTCATTGCCAAGTGAAAGCACATAAAAGTTGATCACAGTGAAAATTGCTTTCCTTTGACTTGATCTTGTTGCAGCTTGTACCCATTGCTTTCCACCCTGTGACTGCATCCCTGGGAAGAGTTGGCTCTGTCTTACATATTCCCTGCCATTAGCTAATTGAAGACAACAATAAGCTTAGCTCTCTCTTCATGAGGCTGAATGAACCCCAGTTAGACATGCCCAGGCCAGCAATCCTAGCTTGTCTGTAATATGAGATATTCTGAGGCTCTGACTGTCATTTCAGTGAAAGTGTTCTTAACATCCCCTAATGATAATCTGTTCTCTCTTTGGATGCTTCAGGAAAATGAATATGACACATCATATTCGGATGCTTCAGGAAAATGAATATGACACGTGATCATATTATGTTCTGATTTGAATGTCTAGGTGTCATGGTTTGCAGTAGGATGCTACTATCTCATGGTTGGCCACAAAAATGAGCATGCTAGAAGATATCTCAGGTAAATGTTTTGGTTTGTTTTCTTTAGGGAATTTTGGATGGACTCTTCGATGGGGGAAAAAAATGTCTGGATTTCTAAGAGTTGTGAATGGAGCCAAATCCAATTGGGGCTGTCACTAATGATGTTCCCCAGGGCTCAGTGTTGGGGCAGGTCCTGTTTAACAGTTCTACTAATGATCTGAATGAGGGGATTGAGAGCAATCTCAGGGAATTTGTAGAAGACACTCACTTGGGTGGGAGTGTGGATCTGCCTGAGGATAGGAAAGCTCTACAGAGAGACCTGGACCCACTGGATCAGTGGCTT